ATCAAAAAGAATTTGATCCTGTGAAGTAACATAAAAGCTAGAGTTGTACACTAAAAACTTGAAAACTCTACTTTCTCTGCCCCTAGCTTCCACAAGTTTATATTAGAAGGTTAAGAAAATCCTCTGTACTACAGCCTGACCTAGGTTGTAGGCAGATACCCATCTGAGCAGTCTAGCAGAAAGATCTGGAGAAGGCCGTCAAAGAAGCAATCTTGCTGAAAATAAGAAAAGTAAAGAAAAGAATAAAATGAGATAGTAAGTAGGCCTGATCTGTTGTTCAGTGTTAAGTGTTAAGTCACTTCAAAGAACAATGCACCTAAGGTGTAGTATGCTTGAGTGAGTAGTTGGAAATACTATTTCTTGCTGTCTGATGAGCACTGGAGTGGCTGTCCAGCAGATGCATTAGAGTTACCTCTGAAGCACGCCTTATACAACATGAAGTCAATAACAGTAGAGTCGTTTACACTGGGAATACAAAATTGAGCTTGGAACTATTGACAAGCAAAGTTTGAACTTTAGGATACAACGCATACTGTCCCCAATTAAGGCCCTTGGTGGCATTAAGCAATGAAACAAAGTAATTTCATAAAGTCTAAAATGGCATTTCATTTAAGTAACTTTGTGTTTTTTTTTAAAGAGCTTTATGAACCAACCGCTGTTAAGCTGCAAAATATGGAGAAAAGCACCTTTATTCTGTTTTATAAAAATGCAGAAAGATCTGTATTAAAAAACATTTGTGTCGATATCCCTTGGGAAACTACTTCCAACATTGGGATTTAGTTTTCATATGGTAATTCCAAGCCAGCATCACCAGTGAAACTATGGAAGTGGAAGCCCAATTTATAGTAGCAGCATAACATGTGTTTTATTGATTGTTGTGAAAACAATTCATATTCATTGAGTAACAGAGACAGTAAATATATTTTGTTATTTTAAAATAGCAAAATAGCCTGGAATTCATTTTAAAATATTGGCTGCTCAAGTAGCTACTACCGCAGAGCGATAACTAGGCAATGTTTAAAAGTTTCTTAAATGAAAAATTAGTGGGATTAACAGCTGGATGGTTATATTAATAACTCTCTAGACAACAACTATCAACTTCACATGTGCAAAGCTGATGATAACATTACTTTAAGGAACATATAGGAAGATAAGAATCCAACTTACTGCCCAAGGCACTTCTACTTACCAAATGATGTGTAAATTGGCAAAAATATGCCAATATTTCACTTAACTCCTATCATTTCTACCATTCTTACCTTCAGCAGATGAATCATGATTTTCATGACTCCTTTTTTTCTGCAGGGGACTCACAAAACTCTCCACAGGTAGCCCTGATCTTTCTTTCTGTTTCATCCTACATGTTGAGCCTGATCAGAAAGACCTTTATTTTTTAATGGGTATCAGTTATGGAGTTCCTTGCCTAACCATGTTTTGGCAATGAGCCTTGAAGTAGTATTCGGTGTGAAAATACTCTCTTTGTCATCCCAGGGTTAAAATTCTTTTGCATCGTCAGTAGTAAAACTTTTCACCTTACACTCCTCACGTTCATAAGGAATGGCTTCTGATGACATCAGTGAAACCTTTTTCTATTGCTGTGCACACTTCAGAAATGATTTGGACAAAATGTTTTCAACCTTGTGTAACCACAGCTCCTTCCTATTATTTATTAAAGGATCCACATTTTTAGCTCATTCATTCATTCATTCATTCATTCATTTTATATAGCCAGCCATCTCAAATACAGGTCCTCCTCGGCTTACGCCTAAAACTGAGCCCAAAATTTCTGCTGTTAAGTGAGACAGCTGTTAAGTGAGTTTTGCCCCCATTTTATGCCCTCTCTTGCCACTGTTGTTAAGTGAATCACTGCAGTTGTCAAGTTAATAGCCCGGTTGTTAAGTGAATCTGGCTTCCCCATTGACTGGTCAGAAGGTTGCCAAAGGTTATCGCAGGACCCTGGGACACTGCAACCGTGATAAATATGAACCAGTTGCCAAGCACCAGAATTGACCTGCAGATCAGGAGATGCTGCAATGGTCATAAGTGTGAAAAACAGCTATAAGTCATTTTTTTCAGAGCCATTGTAACTTTGAACAGTCACTAAACTAATGGTTGTAAATCAAGGACTACCTGTACATGGGCAGCTTACAACAATCTTTAATCTTTAATCGGGTTTTAAGTTAGTGTTAAGATAGAAATATATAAAATTGTATGTTAGCTTATAGAGAAAAAAATTAGAGACTGTATTGTATAGAAAAATATGTATATATAGAGATTAAGAATTATATGTATAATGAGGAACAAATTGTTAGGAATATTTACACTGGAATGTTACATTATGTCCATCTTTGTTTTAACTGTATTATAAATAAAAAACTTTAAAAAAAACATCATTAAAAAAAACAACCATTAATACAACAGGGAAAAAGCCTCCATCATACACTTTGGGGACAAGATTGGGCACATTAGATTTCTTCGTGGTCCTGAAAAATGTCTTTAAAAGTTACATTAAAAGCACCAAGCCAATTAAACATGTACAGCATTACATTGCATAGAGTACTATTTGACAGTGGTGGCTCCAATGATGTATTCAGAAATAAATCCTATTTAAATCAGTGGGATTTTATTATTAAGCATTTAGTAATTAAATACTTTGGTAATTAATTTAGTATTAAGTGCAAAAGGCACCATAGGCAGAGAAGCATGTACAATTGATAGACCATTAACCACCAATTTTATCATTCTACCATGATAAGCCTAAAGCACAATGGGATACGACATCCATTTATAATTTGAATAGTAAGCAGTGGAGCTGAATCCCAATTAAGTGGGCATCAGGTTGCAAACTCAGCACCACTTTTTTTTTTAATTAATTAATTAATTTTACAGGGCTTAGAGGCTGCTCCAGTCACCTCTGAGCAGTGTACAATTCTACCTCTGTAACTTGGATTCTGAGAAAATAAACTACAATTTTAAAAAACTTCATAACACTACAATATTAGACTGCGACATTTCCTATTGCTCTCATTTCTAGTGCATTGGTGATCGACATCACCTAACAATTACATCACCACATCTACCCTAACAACTTTTGTTTCATCCACTGATTGCCTTTTCAAGACATTTATACCATGGAGCATTGCATCATGTCATGGTAGTTATTTCCATTTAGTTTCATTATTATGTAATGGCAATGTGATTAACATTTCTCTATTTTATTTTGGAGCCATGGCGGTGAAGTGGTTAGAATGCTGCCCTGCAGGCTAACTCACTGCTCACTGCCAGGAGCTCGATCCTGACCGGTTCAAAGTTGACTCAGCCTTCCAGCCTTCCGAGGTCAGTAAAATGAGGAGCCAGATTGCTGGGGGGCAATATGATGACTCTGTAAATTGCTTAGACAGGGCTGTAAAGCGGTGTATAAGTCTAAGTGCTATTGCTATTTATCTCAGGTATCGTCTGAAATGGCTCTTGAAGCATAGAGTTTAGACATCACAAACATCTCTTTGGTATATGTGAGTGAAGACAGTGCATGACAGTGCATGAGAGCCAGTTGGTCTGGTGGTTAAGGCAACAGGCTAGCAACTAGGAGACCATGAGTTCTACTCCCGCCTCAGCCATGAAAGCTAGCTGGGGGATTGGGGCCAATCATTCTCTCTCAGCCCAACCTACCACACAGGGTTGCTATTGTGGGGAGAATAGGAGGAGGGAGGAAGGTGTGTTGGCTATATGTGCTGCCTTGAGTTATTTGTAGACTGGGATATAAATAAATAAATATACAATAAATGTTCAGATAAATAAATAATCAATGTTCTCATAAGCCTGTCATCTAGATCTCTGTTTAAATCTGCTCCTGGCTTGTTGGGGAACTTTTTGGTCTAGAGAGAAAAGTTAGAGTTTGTTCTTACAGGCGATTAGGCAGCTGCAGGGTGAAGGAGGCTGCTAATTATCACAGCAGCAGAGACAATCCCTCTTGGGGGCTTCACGTCTCTGATCTCCAGCGGGAGGCTGAGAAATTCTTCCCAGTCTGGCCCCTGCAGAAACGACAGAGTCTTTGGTCTCCACTAACAGAGCTAGAGGGGGGTTGCAAAGACATGAAAGCTGCTTTCCATAGAGTTCCTCTCTTTGATCAACTCTTTGAAATTAATGTGCATTGTTGTTTCCAAAAGATGTTTGATGGGCTGCAAGGTCGTAACCCAACCTCCCCCTTCTATTCCCCCATAGTATTAGTCCCCCTCTTAAATTTCAGTTTTGCTAAATTTCAGTTTCCATTCATCCCAAATTTCCCACTATTCAGTTTAAGAGCCAGTTCGATCTATTGATTAAAGGCAACAGGCTAGAGAGCAGGAGACTGTTAGGCATGAAAGCTGGAAGAAACGGTATTTTGAGTCTGTCTATCTATCTATCTATCTATCTATCTATCTATCTATCTATCTATCTATCTATCTATCTATCATCTATTTATCTACCTATCTACCTACCTATCTATCTGATCCTTCCCGACAGGGTTATTATTGTGGGGGAAAAGAGAAGGAAGAAGTATTGTATATATTCACTATCTTGAGTTACTTGTATAAAGGAATAAAGGCGAGATAAAAACAAAATCTAATAACTACCTTAAGCGGGGGATCCCGAGGGAAAGAGACAGGCATCCCCTTACCTTCCCCGTTTTGGACAGGATTTCAGGCTCTGCTCCCCGCTCCTCTCCCCATAAGCCTCCTGGTTGGGATACCCATCCTTTCTTCGCCTTCTCCTCCGATTTCTTTGCTAAGTCGTTCCAGGCTAAGCAAGAAGAGGAAGAGTCAAGGCAAGAAGAGCCACCGCCACGCCACGCCACGCCACGGCCAGGTGGGGCGGGGAGGGCGGGAGCAGGTGAGGTAAGGGCAAACGGCTCTGGAGGGTGAGGGCTTCATTTTCGCAAATAGTCATGTGCGGCGGCCGCGCGCGGAGAAAAGGGAGGAAAAAGAGGAGGAGGCAGCACTGAGCTTGCGCAGTCAGGGGTGGGCCGTTCTGCTTGTTGCTGCTGCTGCTGCTGCACCGACCGAGCGCTCCCGGTGCCGCTGCAGTTGGTGACTCGCTTCTCAGCACCTTGGAGAGCTCCTCGGGCGCTGCGGCTTGATTCCTTTGCAAGGAATCACTGTAAGGAGGAAAGGAGCCAGAGGGAAGGATAAGGCGCGCCAGAGCCCCTTCGGTCTCCCGTATCCCCACAGAGAGAGAGAAAGAGAGAGAGAGAGAGAGTGAGTGAGAAAGAAGGAAAGAGAGAGCTGGAGGGACCGAACCGGCCTCCCTGGGTGAGGAGTAAGCTGGCAGGCAGCAGCCTTTGATCTCGCTCTGCTTCTCTCCCTAGCAGCGGAGCCCGCCTGGGGAGGCAAGAGTTAAAGCCATCAACCCACGTAAGCTTGGGAAGACGGCGGCGGTGCGTTCTCCGCCGTCCGCTGCCTCCGCCGCTCTTCGTGAAGGCTCCTTTCCCCCACCCCCCGATCGGCTAGAGATCCTCCCGCTCCTTTAGCTGCGATTGCGAAAGCAGGCAGGAGGAGCCCGGGAGGCGTTGAAGGAAGGGCGCCAGAGCAATCCGTCCAGGCTTTGTGCCGCTGCCAGTCGTGTCGTTCGCCCCGCCGAGTGCGGCCACTAGTCTGCGGCCAACATGCTGGACCCGTCGTCCAGTGAAGAAGAATCCGATGAGATCGTGGAAGAGGAGAGCAGTAAGGAAGTGCTGGCCCCAGCAGCCTCGGGGGCTCGGCTCTCTCCCAGCCGGACCAGTGAGAGCTCTGGGGGCGGTGGTGGCGGGAGCAGCGGCGGGCTGCAGCCCAGCAGCCGGAGCGCGAGCAGCGTCCGGCCTTCCAGCCCGAGCCCCTCCGTGGTGAGCGAGAAGGAGAAGGAAGAACTGGAAAGGCTGCAGAAGGAGGAAGAAGAGAGGAAGAAGAAGCTGCAGCTTTACGTCTTCGTCATGAGGTGCATCGCCTATCCCTTCAATGCCAAGCAGCCCACCGATATGGCCCGGAGGCAACAAAAGGTAAAGTCTTGCTAAAGAGAACAATAGAGGTAGGCAGGTCGATGCCTGCCCAGAGAAATATCTGGGGAGGGTCCGAGGCACCTGGGTATGGAGAAACACTACCTGGCATACATCAGAGAGTCCAGAGTCAGGACGAGGAGTGGGTTGATCTTGCTGCCGAAAGTTTCCCCAGACAGCTGTGTCCAGGGCCCTTCCCTTTGCAAGTTTTCATGCGGGTTGAGGGGCAGTGCTGGAGGGGGCTTCGCAACCAGAGAGTTTATGCAGAGCTGTGAGATCATCTCTCTTTACAAGATTCTCTGGAGGAAGGCTGTTAGCAGTCCCCAAACCTCAAGGGAAAAAGCAACTTGTATTTATTGAGTGTGTGTGAGAGAGGAGAGAGAGAGAGAGAGAGAGAGAGAGAGAGAGAGAGAGAGAGAGAGAGAGAGAGAGAGAGAGAGAGAGAGAGAGAGAGAGAGAGATTGCTGTCTGGTATGGAACAGTAAATGGTGCCTTTCCAAGTTAAAAATGCACCTGGCACTTCTGTGAGATCTCTCTCCTTGGGTGTTAAAAACACCTCATACATTTGCTGGGACTCCAAGTCTGTCCCCTGGGTAGTAGCTGTTCTCTTATAAAAATCAAGGTCTGAAAGCAGTTCTCCTGGTTCAGGTCCATTGGTCTGTCCACGGAGATGGAACTTGAGCAGAGGCTGGGTGGCGTCTGCAGCAGAAGAATGCAGCAGGAGCCAAGGAAGCTGGAAGGACATCAGGGGGACACAAGGCCTTGCTTCCATGGAGTAGTAGGTAGTACTTCTGGGAGAGGCGGAGAGTAAGCAGGAACCCCGAGAGTTGGGGAGGAGTGTAAAACGAATCCTCAGCAGGACAAAGAAGTCCAAGCGTTTACTGCATCAGCAGCAATTATGTCAACGAGAGGTCAGATGACCTATTGCCTTTCTTGGCTGCTTTTCTCCTTGTGGCCTTACATAACTGCAGCTAATGCTAAGAGGGAGCTGGCATTTTGCTCCAATCTCCATATGCCAAAGGAGACAAAAAGAAGTGAGAGAGAGAGAGAGAGAGAGAGAGAGAGAGAGAGAGAGAGAGAGAGAGAGAGAGAGAGATGTATGTCTTGAGCTTTGAGACTTATCCTTTGTCCTCTGCCTTGCCCAAGAGTTCCCCATTTTTCTAAGGGTCTTCCTGGGAGAAGTGGCCAATCCACTGCTCTCCTGGAGATCTTCACAAAGGTTATGCTGATACACTCACCTGCTGTGCTCATGCCATGGAGAGGACCAATTATTTCAGGGATGTTTTTGTGTCTTTGCTGAAGATGCTCTGGCCATAACACTTCTTGCTGCAGTGTTTGATGTCTAACAATAGGTGAACATGTTTCACATTAGTTCACTTCACTTCTTCTCATCTCCTTGCTTTGAAAGCAGTCAGCACAGATAGGTCCTGCAAAATTCTATGACCAGAGACAGCAATGTCTGCAGAGTTAAGTCTTGTGATCTTGACGGCTCATAGTAGTAAACATACAGTACAAATACATTAGTTTAAAGAACAGTGAAGAGGCTGTAAAAACTAGAATAATCCAAAAAAGGGACTGTAAAGGTATTTAATGCTTCATTTGCTATCCATTCCTTCTGGGGGAAACATGTTTAAAATATCTGCATTTTATTCTATATTCAGTAGGATGTGTATTTTCTAGTGAATAGTTGGTATATTGAAAGTAAAAAGTGATTTCATATTAGCTGTTTGTTTGGTATGTCCTGGAAACAAAACAGAGACCAATGATGGAGAGGTTTTTTTTTTTTCCCAGTTGAAATCAGACTTAAATAAAGAAAAAAAATAAGTGAGGTTTTCCCCAAGGTCAGCCAATGAATTTGTGGCATATTTTTATCCTAGGATGTCTTATTGCCGAATTCAAAGTAACATTCAATTTGTATCATGCTTATGGCAATAAGTCTCACTGAGTGAAATGGGATTTTTGTTGGGAGGAAGTACCCATAAGATTGTGACTTTTAGAAAGTCTGGAATATGAGGGAAACTTTCCACTGATATATTGCAAAGCCATATTTCAGAGTTTAGTGTTGCATTATGTAATTAGACCAAGGTATGAACTCTTCACACTAAGATGTTGGGATGATGATTGCTTACATTCCTTCAAATTTCTATGCACAATAAATGATAGAACATTATATTTAAGAAATGTAGCGTATTCTTCTGTCTTCTGTCACAATCTTTGCCTTGTAAACAGCCCGAGACATGCACACATTTGATTTATATTCTGGTATCAGCATAAGTGTTTACAGGGCAGAAAGCTGAGTAATCCTACTGTTGGCCTGCAAAGTATGTTTGTGCTCATGTGTATTTCTGAATGAATAGCAGCTTCCTGTCAGGGCATACAGAAATGTTCTTCTTCCAGTCATAATACTAACATGACTGATGGGATACACTGACAGGAAACTACTAAAAAAACGATGTCTTAAAATGGAGAAAACTAATTAAGAATTAAAGAGAGAGGCACTCAGGTGGAGTCTGACACAGGCAAAGTCACTAGTTTTGTGAAATGGGTGATTGTATAAGATAGATAGATAGATAGATAGATAGATAGATAGATAGATAGATAGATAGATAGACAGACAGACAGATAGAAGGACGGATGGACAGATGGATGGACTGACTGATTTAATTTGGCAACCAATGAAAAGGACACCTGTCAGTTTTACAGGAATGTTTGAGGAAATGAATTGGGTCCAGGAGAATCAGGAAGTTCTTTAGTCAACTATGGAACTTACACCTCAATCATTAATTCAATCCAATTCACACGGTGATAAGATGAAAAGAAATGGCGACTCACAAGAGCTCTACATTGAGCATCCTGAGGAAAGACAGGATATATTAACATGACAAAAATACAATTATCCGTCACAGATTAACTTGGGTGAATGTTTTTGCCAAAGAAACCCAGAAAAGCTAGTTATGGCTGCCTCTTCCCTTATTCCTATTTTCCAGTCAAACAAATTTCTGATGCATTTGGGGTTTCTTTGTAATTATTGTCATACCAAATACAAAAAGATCACATTTAGATTAAATTACTCTTTGAAAGTCCAATTCTGAGGAATGTATATTAGTTTTATTTCTGCCAATGACCTTTATATACCAAAATGACTCTAGGACATATTGACGAGGATGACATTCATTCAGCTCTGTCACGCCACAAAGCTATTATTAGTCCATTCAAGCATGAGGAAGTGGAAAAGCATATCAGGTCAACACAGTTTGAAGATTTTGATGTGGACAGAAAGTCAAATTCCTACATATGTTTCTTAGCTGTGTGTCAAGACTGATAATAACTCCGATTAGATTTCTATATCCTTGCCTTGGAACTCCTGCATTATACAGTAATACGTGATGGCAAAGTTATATTTTCCCCATTTGTATGTGGAACATTCATTAGGTTTTGAAAAAATAATGTGGTGATGAACAAAATGGATCAGAAAATTTGGCCTCCATATTTTGGAAGACTTTGATTCAAAGTTCTGATAAGCCACAATCACTGACTGGTCTTGACTTGCAATCTGTAAAGTCAAATGTTACCTGTTATGCCAGGCTGTTCTTAAAAGGAGGAGGGGAAAATGCTTTATTCACCATGTACATTGTAACTGAACAACAGTCGTGTTCAACAAGAGTCAACCAAGTTATGGTGAAATGAGAACTAGCATTGTCAGAAGCAAAGAGCCCAGGAAAAAGAGACTGGGGCGGGGGTGGGGGAAGCAATGTTGAACAACATGAATGTACTGTATGTATCCTTGTACTGAATCAAAACAACAATAATACAATTCATATCCCAAAGTGCTGTCTAATCTAGCTAATAGTAGTTCTTCAGGGGGTTTTCAAATATTTTTCTCTTCAGGTCCAGCACTGGGATTCTTTTAACTAGAAAAATGAGAGATTGACTTTAGAACATTGCATGCATGATGCATATGTACATGACTTATTTATAAAAATATGCATAAGGGTTGTACTTTGAATTTGATTCCAAAATTCCTTTGGAGTGCAAAAGAGCACAAATAGAGCATCTATCTTTACTCCTTTAAAATGCCCACATTTTTCCTTGGGATCAAGTGACAGAAGTCAGCTAGCCAACTGTGGGAAAAGATACAGCTGTTTTAATAAGTTGCAGGCAGATACTATGTTCATGCATTTACAAGACTATTTTTAAATCCAAAGCAATAGCACAGCTCTAAAAGAGATGCTAATGTATTAATTTCTGTTTTAAGACAGACGGTCTTTCTTACTGACAAATTAAAAAGTGAAATAAGTTTACTTTGTGTTTTTTCTATGGTATTCCCAGTGTTACATTTCTTTTATACCAATCAATCGAAGTTTGGACAAGCTGAATGGCATTTTTTAGATATTTTAATAGGGATTGTGATAAGAGCTCATGTGTTGTTTCAAACAGATTGATTTTAGAAATATATTTGCTACAGTAAAATGACTCATTTGTTCCAGATCCACTTGGAACTGTTGACAGGGATTTTAGTATTCTGAGAATACTAAAACTTGGCTCTGTTTTATTCAGGGTTTTTTTTTTCTCCTACACATTGCTTTCTTCTCTTCCCCACCCAAATTAAACAGTTTCTCCCAAGGAAGGCAGCTTTTGACACATGAGCACACAATTGCTAAGCAGCAGTTACACCGTGGTGCTTATTGATTAGGAACATGCCACTGAATAGTACAATTTAAGTTCTTGTCTCCTTGAGGCAGACAAGGATTACAGTCCTTTGAATTAGTTGCAGGCTTCTTAATTTATCATACATTTACTAAATTCATGTTCTAACTATCCCAATAAGTAGCACTCTGTATTGCTCACAGCCAAACAGTGCTGATAAAAATACATGTTAATGAAATACAGGAGAAAATAAATTTAAAAAAAGACATTCACACCTATTTAAAAGCTGTTTGCTTTTTTTTTTTAAAAAAAAAAACACATTTTAAAAGCCAACAGCTTGTTGGAATAAAGCAGTT